GGTGGAGGCGACGCAGCCCCCGGGCGGCGCGGGGGAGCCGGGACCCCCGCCCCGCAGTAGAGACCCCCGCCCCACAATAGACATCCCCGCCGCAGAGCAGGGACCCTCTGCCCATAGCAGAGACCCCTACCCCATGGTTGTGACACCCCGCTCCCTCAGCAGGGACCCCTGCCCACAGTAGGGACCCCCATTCCAGAGCTGGAACCCCCTGCCTCATTGCTGGGACCCCCACCTCCTCGCTGGGACCCTCTTCCCCATAGCAGGGACCCCCCATCTCGTTGTTGGGGCCCCCGACACCTCCCTGGGACCCTACAGCAGAGCAGCCCTCCCAGACGCATGGCAGGGCATCAGGGTCCCCCTGCAGACCCATGTTAGGGGGTCAGAGATCCCCCCCATTTCCATGGTGGAGCAGCTGGGACCTCCAGCCCCATGACGAGGCAGCCCCCAAGCCTAACGACAGGATCAGAGACCCCCAGCCCCATTGTGGGACATCTGGGACCCCAAAAGTTCCATACCAGGGCTGTCAGGACCCCCAGCCCCATGGAGGTGTCTCCCTGCAACCCCGTCATGTGGGATGAGGGGCCCCACAGTGGGACAGTGGGACCCCAGCTGGGTCCTGTGTGGGCACTGCCCTCCTTTTGCCTACAGCCCGGCCATGGGGCAGCCTGGTCCTGCCCCACATCCCTGCCCCACGTCCCTGCCCCGCTCTGCGTGCCATGCACCTCCTAGCACGGGGCTCACACTTCTCCCCAGTTGGTTTTAATATTTAAAGCCAAATTTTGCGTGCACGATTAAATTTTTACAAGACTTCAAGCTTGCAAAGAACACCACGCTGCACATGTCGCGTTGCCACAAATAGATGCAGGGCTTAGCAAAATTACAGACTTCTCAGGGAATCAGCACTCGCCTTGTCATTGGGAGAGAACCCCCACATCTTGCAGCTCCGGAACAGGTCTCGTCTCTGCCGTTCCCCTTGTCAACGGGCTGCAGGTGCCTTTAGCACAAAGCTGGCACCGTTTTGGCAAGGTTGGCACCTTTTTGGTGAGCTTTGCACCGTTTCGGCGAGGTTTGACAGGGTTTGCCCCAGATGTGCGCACTGCATGAGCATCTCACCAGCGGCCCAGCCTGCTCCAGGCCCAGGAAAATGCAGCGAATGGAGCTCCCAGGATTTTTCCCAGGAAAAACGCAGGAGCACTGCAGCTCCTGCACCTGCGAGGTGGGTTTTGCAGCATTGGTGCAAGTGCCGCCCTGCTCTCCTGGGACAGGCTGGTGCCTTTGGGCTAGAGGGACAGGGACATGTCGGGGCTGCAGGACATGGGCTGGTGGTGCCATGGGGAGGGCAACGTGGGGACCCGGCCCTCGGCAGCTGTGCCGGCATCCCCAAGGGAGCGGGATATGAACGGAGCAAGGGAGATGGTGAACCTGGGCTTGCAATGGGGAGAGCTGCCAGCTCCACACCAGAGCTACACCAGAGCCGTGCTGGAGTTGAACCAGAGCTGCACCAGAGCCAGGATGGAGCTGTGCTGGAGCTGGAGGTGCAATCAGAGCCACAGGACCGCACCGGAGCCACACCGGAGCTGTGCCGGAGCCACACCGGAGCTGTGCCGGAGCCGCACCGGAGCTGTGCCGGAGCCGGCGGGCCATGGGAGCCGGCCGGGATCCCCGTGCGCGGCCCTTCCCAGCGTGGCGCCTCGTGCCGCTGAGCTGGCAGGGCTGACTCAGGCGGCCCCATGGAGCCGGGGGCGGCCGCGAAGCCGCCGGTGTCGGGCACGCGCCCGCCGGCCCATGGTGCCCGCAGCTCCCGCCCCGCGGCACCGCGAGGCCACGGGGGGTCCCGGGGAGGTTCCCCCTGACGCCACTCCGTCCCGGACCGGCACGGGCAGCGGGATGAGCCGCAGGGCTCTGGTGCCCACAGCAGCTGCTCCTGCCCCGTCTGCAGGCAGCGCAGCCCAGCTCCTTCCCAGCCAAGAGCTCTGCCTATCCCGACTAATCCACGGCGGAGAGAGGCTTCATAATTGGGATTGCCGAGCCGGCGGGGAGCCCGGCTCTGCCCGCGCAGCACCAGGACGGGGCCGGGGCTCTGCGGCCACGGAGGCGGCCCCGTGCCCGGCCCGCGCGCGCTCCCGCTCCTCGGGGAGCCGCGGCCCCGGGAGCCGGGCGCATGCAGCCAGCCGGCGTAAATCTGCATCACCGGTTATGCAACACCACTGATTTATTCATGTCTGAACCGGGCACTGGCCTAGAAATTAGCTCCGGTGGTGCCGGCGAGGGGAGGCAGGGCCGGCCCCGGCGGGACGCGAGGTGGAGCTGGGCACGGACACGCTGCTGCAGGAGCACGCTACCAATTCCCACGTTGCGAATTCCAGTTTCACCTGGGCAGCTCCGGGCGCAGGGTCCTGGGTGCCGATCGCACCCCGCGGAGCAGGGCCTGGCCGGGGGCTTCGCTTGGCCCTGTGCTCACGGGGGCCAAATCCCCGGGCCAAGCGGCACCCAGGCCCCGCTCCGTCGCCTTTCCCCATGCCGGATTTCACAGGATTAATTGATTTCACGGGAGCGATTCCAGCTCCGGGGGCGGCAGCTCCCAGCGGCACCGCAGGGACAAAGGAGCTGGCGCTGCCATTCCCGGAGCCCCGGGGCGGCGAGAGGGTCCTCCTCGCTCCAGCAGGAAACCAAGGCACGGGGCGGGCCGAGGCCCAGCAAAACTCATCGCACTCATTGCCCAGGCCCCAGCCCTACCACAAGGGCTGTCCCTGGGCTTTGGGGGGACACCCTGGGACTGCAGAGGACAGTCCTGCTCCTCCTGCACGCCCAGTGTCCCGGGCAGGCGTCACGTCCCCGTCCTGCCCGTGTAGAGGTGCAGGAGGCCGCAGCGCTGCAGCTGCTGCCACAGCTGCATCTCCTTCCTCAGGTCGTGGTTGGCGAAGAACTGCACCTGCTTGTGCCTGCGGTCGAAGTAGTGGTCCGAGTAGGCCTGGTAGTCAGGCGTCAGGAAGCCGAAGGCGCTCACCTGTGTGACACGGGACACGCGGCTGCACAGGGACATGCGGCTGCACGGGAACATGCATTTGCATGGGGACACACGGCTGCATGGGCACATGGAGCTGTATGGGGACACACGGCCGCGTGGGGACATGTGGCTGCACGGGGACCTCCCAGGGGAGAAAACGGATGCCTATGTCCAGTGCTCAATACCCTATGCACCATGCCCATGCACTGCACCGTGCAACCTGCCCCATGCACCCTGCACCGTGCCCTGTGCTTCCTGCACGGTGCACCATGCCATGTGCTGCATGCACCCTGCACCGTGCCCTGTGCTCCCTGCACGGTGCACCATGCACCCTGCACTGCCCGCGCACGGCAGCGCGCGGGCCCCAGGGCTCCCCTGGCCCCGGTGCGGGCAGCTACCTCGTCGCAGGTGTGCAGGGCGGCCAGCAGCATCACGGCGCCGGTGGAGGGCCGGTAGAGCGCGTGCCGCGGCGTGGCCAAGATGTCGGCCCACAAGAACCTGGGAGCGCGAGCGGCGGGAGGCTGAGGATGCTCCCTCCGTTGCTAGGGAATATCCATAGCGACCGCATCCACCCCGCAGGGCCGGCTGCGGGAAGGGGCCGGGGCGGCCGGGGCGCCGTGCAGCAGCCCGTGCCCCTCGGGGCAGTGGCGCCCGCCCCGCTCCTCACCGGTTCCGCACGTAGCGCACAAAGTCCGGGTGCAGCATCTTGAACTTGGCCGCCCGCAGCTGCTCCCCGAAGAGCTCCTGGGGCCTGCGAGGAGGCGGCGGCGGCTGCAGGGAGCGGGCGCCGCGGGGCCGCGGCCGCCCGGCTCCGGTGCCGCTCGCGCGGCCGCGCTCACCAGGCGCCCCGGTCCCTGCCGCGCTGCACGCGCTGCCCGCTCACGGCCGCCCGCAGCAGCAGGTAGTCCCGGTCGTGGTCCGGGAGGAAGACGTAGCGTGTCTCCTGGCGGGGGGACACGGCGGGGGCTCACGGGGACCCATTGGGAGGCTGTGGGGATGGGTCCCCTGGCCATGTGGGGGCCGGGGGAGCCCTCGGCCTCTCCTCCCTCACCGGGGTCTGGGGCGGGTGGCGGAAGCCGTCGGCCGCGTAGCTGCTCAGCGAGTTCATGAGCGTGTTGGTGGAGAACACGTAGAAGGAGGTCCTGTTGCCCACGTCCCTCTCGAAGCCCTCAGTGATGGCCCCGTTGACCCTGGCGGCCGGCGCGGGGCCGTGAGCTCTCGGCCGTCCCCGCCACCACGTCCCTGTCCCCGCACGGACGTCCCCCCACCTGAACACGTAGTCGTGGGCGTCGATGGCGCGGCCGGCGCCGGAGCCGTTGAGGATGCCGCCGTTGCCCACGACGGCGCAGCGCACGCAGGGCCCGCGCCGCCCGCGCTCCAACAAGGCGCCGTTGGCCGACGTGTTGAGCAGCGACAGGGCCGCCTGCACCACTGCGAGGGCGGCGCGGGCGGGTGAGCGCGGGGCGGCCGGGCACCACGCCGCGTCCCCCGCGGCCACTCGCACCGTCCCAGCCGACGTCCCTCCAGCCGTGCGCGCCCGGGAAGCGGCGCAGGCGCCGGTATTCGTCCTGGCGCGCGTGCTGCGCCCACTGCAGCACCGGGATGCTCTCCAGGAAGACGTCCCTGAACTCCGTGGCCGCCACCTTGCTCCTGATGCCGCTGGGGCACTCCTGCGAGCACCGGCATGTGACACCCCATGGCGGGGGACGCCGATGGAGCTCGCGGAGACCTTGCTGGGGCCCTGGTCCCACTCGGCATCGGGCTGCCCGCTCGGAGGATTCCCCAGCCCCGCTCCCATCCCGGCCGCGCAGAGCCCTACCGAGCTGCAGCAGGTCCTGTCCTGCCCGTACGTGTCCCCCAGGCTGGGCCACAGTGTCACCACGGGAGCCCTGCTCGGTGGCTGCGCCGCTGGCTCCGGGGCTGCCGTGGCGCGAGTGCTGCCCGGGATCCTGCGCGGGGACAGCGGAGCTGGCGGGAGGCACCGGGAGGCACCGCACCGGGAACCGGACCCGGGAAGCTCCTTGAGCCGCTGGAGCCGTCCGGGCCATCCCAGGCTGTCCCGTGGGGCCGAGCGCTCCAGGGGGAGCGGGGCCGCTCAGTGACACCAAGAGCCGCATCCTCTTCCCAATCCGCCACCATCCAGCCCTGCTGCCCTCGCCAAAGGCATCAGTGCCCCGCGGGGACGCTGCTCGTGCGGTGCCAGGGGCGGTGATGGAAGAGCCGGGAGATGGAGCAGGCAGGAGCAGCCAGGCCCTCCCGGGCCAGGTCCCGGGTGCCAGGGTCCGCTCCGTGCACGGAGCGCAGGAGCAACGGTTAACCCGGGCGTTAATGATTCCCCAGCTTGGGAAATGCCAAGGTCCAAAGCATCAAAGGGGAAACATGGACATGGGCAGCCGGGTGAGAGCAGGCGACTGCCACCGCCACTTGGACTGCCTGTGTCCCCATCCCTGTCCCCACAAGGGGCTGCCCGTGTCCCCGTCCCCACGCAGGGCTGCCGGTGTCCCCGTCCCCGCGCGGGCCGTGTTACCTGCCGAGCTGCTGCCAGAGCTGCCGCGGCGCCGGGAGCAGCAGCAGCAGCAGCAGCGAGAGGAGGGAGGCGGCGAGCAGCAGCGCCGCGGTGCCGCGCGCCGGGCCCCGCCGCTGGGCGCCCCCGGGGAGCCGCCGCATGGCCGGGCCGCGCGGCGAGGAGGGGAGCGCAGGGGACAGCACGGAGGGGCAGCGGCTCCCGCGGGACGGGCCCCGCGGCTCTCGCCCCTTGGCCGCTTCCCGGGCGCCTCCGCGGCGGCACGCGCGGCTCCCGGAGCGCGAGGAGGGCAGCGGCGCTCGCGGGGGACGGGCGCCCACGGAGCCCGGCCCGACGCTGCAAATGGCGCGGGCAGGAAGGCCGCGGGATCTGCGCTCGTCAGAGAGCGCGAGCGGTGAAAATCCACATCCTGCCCGGCCTCCCCGCGCCGCACGTCACGCGCTCCCGGCCACTGGCGCCGGGCGCTGCTCCGTCAACCGGGCCTGGCCCAGGGATCCCAGCGCTGGCACATGGATGCATGGATGGAGACCCACGTCTGCCCGCCTCGGGTTGCACAGGAGGGAGGAAACAGCCGAGCCCGTTGCTGGCAGGACAGACCATGAACCCGGCGCGACTGCGATGAGGAAGCAGCCGCGGAGCCGGGCGCGGGCGCCGGCCGCCGCTGCGGGGGAACGGGGCACACGGGCCCTGCCGCGAGCGGAAGCAGCCAGCCCAAGGCAGCTGGGTGCTCCCCGGGCTGTGACCCCCGGGTGACAGAGCTGGAGGTGGCAACGGCCAAGGGGCCTCCCCGCGCGCCCACCGGCAGGTCCCTCGCTGTGAGGGAAGCGACGGGGGGAGAGGAGGATGCCCGGGCCCCCCAGTGCCGCTCAGGGCCTGAGGGACCCCTGGCAAATCCCTTTTCCTCAAAGGAAGGTCCCCCCGCTGCCCCTCGTTGCCCTGCCGGGGGGCTCCGGCTGCCCCCACGAGCAGCCCGGCCCGGCCCGCACGGACAGGGACAAAACGTCACGGCCACCAGGAGCAGGGCCACCCCGCGCCCGGGGAACACCCACCATCACACAGGGGCAGCTCTAGAAACCAGCGCACGTTTTATTGTTAAAATACAACCAAGGAAAAGCTGAACGTTACCCAGTGCCCCCAGCGGGAGTCACGGGCCGAGACACGAGTAACAGAGGATGGTTTAAAAAAAAAAACAATAAAATAAATACAGCGGTGGGCCCGCGCCGGGCCGGCTACTTGGCAGGCAGCAGCTGCTGCCGCTGCCGCTCCAGAAGCGCCTCCAGGTGCTGGGCTCTGCGCAGGGCCGCCTGGCAGGGAGCGGGCGCTGAGCGGCCGGGCAGCGCCGCCGGCCGCCCCCCGCCCCGCACTCACCTCGTACTGCTTGCGCAGGCTGCTCACGCTCTCCTCCTTCCTCACCAGGGCCGTCTTCACCCTGGGCACGGAGACGCAACGAGGCTGAGGCCTCCAGGCACCCCCTTGACCCCAGCGGGGGCTTCAAGGCGGCCCGAGGGGCTGCAACATGCCCCTCCTGCCCCCAGCATCTTCCCACCCAGGAGCTGCCACCCAAAGCCCACGAGCTGCCCAGGGCGCTTTGATTCCCCGCTGAGCATTAGGGAGCTTCCAGCAAGTAACCTATAACAGGAGAGGGACATTCACTCGCTGGGACTTGATTAACAAGCGAGTTATTTCTAAGCATCCTCCCATTTTGCACAGGTCCTGCCCGACCTGTAACCCTTCCCCACAGCTCCCAGCACGAGTCCCTGGCTTTCAGCCTTTGCCAGGCTGCTGGCAACAGCTGGAAGGAGCCGGGAGCCCTTGTGATGGGGGCTGAGGCCAGGGCCTGGCGGGAGCCGCAGGGCAGGGCGCCGCGCGTGCTCGTGCCCCAGCAGCTCACTGCAGCTCTGCACGCGGGCGCCGCGGGGCCAGCAGCGACCACAGCCCTCTGCACCCACGCAGAGAGCTCCCCTGAGAGACACGCTTCCAGTTCAGGTGCGTTTTTCATGTGGGAAATCTCTGCCCCACGGGCAGGCTCAGGGGAATAGGAGGGAGCTGCAGACGAGCTGCCTGGCCGGACGCTCAGCCCGGGTGACAGCAGCATCCCCAAACCGGCTGGCACCCGAGCTCCGCACCCAGCACGGTTCTCGCTGCCCACGGCCTGGGCTGCTTCTCGGGATGCTCCAATGCTCCGGGTGCAGCAGCGGGGCCCGCTCGCTGGCCCGGGGCAGGGGGCAGCCGCCCGGGCTCCCTGGAGCACGGCCCGTGCAGGGGCTGCAGCCGAGCAGCCCCGCGCCCAGCACCGCTGAGCCCCGCGGGCGCCGCGACCCCGGCGCGCTCGCCCACTCTTGCCGCAGCAGCACGTGCGCTGCTCAGCACTGTCCTCTCCTGGCGGGAACCCACACGCTGCTCCCGCCGCACTGAACCTCCAGGCAAGCAGGGGAGCTGCCCTGGGGACAGGGTCACACAGGGTAGCCTGGAGGTCACCACAAAGGCCATGGGATTCAGTGACAGAGCAGGTGACTCTGCTCTCCTTCTACCCTAGCAGGGCTGGAAACAGCACGAGAGGATGCAGCAGTGCGGGCGCAGGGAGCCTCACCTCCTGTGAACCTCCTCCAGCTCTTCATCCTTCTCCCGCACCACCCTGTCAAGCTCCAGGCGCTGCCGGGCTCTCATCTCGGCCATCTCCGTCTTGAGCTGCCTGTTCTCCTCCTCCGTGCCCACCAGCCTGTCGGCAAACTCCTGGCGGATCACGTCTGCCAGGCTGCTCCGCTCCTGCGCCAGCTGGTCCCTCACCTGCGGCCAGGACAGAGGAATCACAGCCCTGATGAGCATGGAGCAGGGAGAGGAGCTAGCCCCGCCGACTCCGCTCCCCACTCGCCTTGCTTATCTCCTGCAGCTCCTGCTCCTTGTGCTTCAGCAGGCCCTGCAGCTGAAGGCTCTGGCCCTCGAGCTCAGCCAGCCGCCCCTTCAGCTCGCTGCACCGCTCCTGCAGCTTCCGCTCAGACCTCTCCAGCTCCTGCAGCTCAGCCTCGTACTTGTCTCGGATCCTCTTAATCCTAAAGCGAGGCAAGAAGAGCCAGCCCAGCTCAGCCTCGGGCCGCACCGAGGCCCTTCCCGGCCTCCTCCGCACTGCGGCTCTCCTGGGCTGGCGTCACCCTCTCGGGCGTGCAGCGCAGCACCGAGGGGACGCGCGCTTTGTTGGGAGGGAGTGAAGCTTCCTCCCCGGCAGCTCTTCCTCGCTGAGCTAACACGGCCCCACGCGCACGTTGCAGCGCTGCCGCACAACGCTGCAGGATCTGCCCGGGTCCGCGCGCGGAGCAGGGAGCAGGCAGGATAAATGCACAAAGGCAGCCCGTGACTTGAGGCCAGACGCAGAAAAGGCCAACACGCTGAAGTGTGAAGGAAGCTGCCGGGCAGAGGGAATGCCAGGTCTAGCTAGAAACCAAAGGCGGGCCAGCTGCGTCCCCCGGGACACCACGGAGCTCATCTCGCTGCTCGTCACTCTGCTCCCCTCTTGCCGTGCCGGGGGGCTCTCAAACCCCTTGTCCCCCCTCAGAGGAATGTGGGGTGCAGGGCAGCACAACCCCACGACGCATGCAGAGCTCAGGGGCACACGCACCAAGCCCCAGGGGATGGGGGAGGAGAAAGAGCCCTCAAGGAGGGAGAACTCGGGGTTCGGCCCCCCGCTCCCTCCCCACCTGTTCTCTGCCGCCCTCTCGCACTCCTCCTTGGCGGAGGACATGTCGGCCTCCAGGCGCTGGATTACCAACTCGATCTCTTTGTCTCTCTCCTTCCTCACCTCCTCCCTCAGCTCCCGCTCCCGGGAGAGCAGCCAGGCCTCCTGTGGACAGACACACAGATGGCAAACGTCGCCTCAGATCTTCTCTGAGCCCCAAAGGGGATGCTTTCAGAGAAGGGCAGCTCGAGCCGTTACCTCCTTCTTCATATAGTTGGCCTCCCAGGCCTGCTTCTCCATCTCCAGCCGGTCCTTCAGCACCTTCACCTCTGCCTGCAGAGACAAGCAGGAGTGGGAACGCTCAGCGCCTGGGCAGCTCTGCCAGCCCCTGCACCCGCCGCTTGCTGATGGGAGCAGCCCTGGAGCTGGTCAGCGGTGCCAGCATGTGGCAGCCCAGCCCCACGTGTGCAGCTCAGGGCTGCAGCGATGCACTGGCACTTGCATGGCCTGTGCCCAAGCAGGGCCAGCTCGTGCCCTGCAGCAGCTAGAGCCCAACAAGGGGACACCCCAGAGATAAGAGACCTGATGCCGCCTCTCGTGCTCTTCTTTCTCCTTCGCGTATTCCTCCTTCAGCGCCTTGGTCAGCGCAGAGCTGTTGGCCTCCAGCTGCTGCCTCAGCTCCTCCAGCTCCGCTCTCTGCCTGCCCACAGACACACCACAGCTTGTAACGTCCACGCCGGCCCCACGGCCCCGTCCAGCCGCGACCTGCCCAGGCTGCTCCGCCGCAGCCCCCTCGAGAACCTCCCCTCTTCCTAAAGCATCTTTCCCGGGAAAACCAGCCCCACTGGCCTAAGCTCAGGCCTGTCCCAGCCTCTCACCTGGCCGCTTGCTGGCTGAGCCGCTCCTTCTCCTCGGCCACCTCCGCGTAGAGCCGGCGCCGCTGCTGCTGCAGCGCCTGTTCCTCCTGCTCCAAGTGCTTCTCGCACCTGCGGGGGCAGAGCAGCCTCAGGACCTGCCTGCTTTGGGACACTGGCCCCTGCTTTGCAGCACCACAGTGGTGCGTGTCCTCCCCAGGTTAACCAGGTGCCATCTGCGTGCAGGGTTCACTGGCACGTCCCTGCTCAGGGCTGCTGGAGGGAGCTGGGGGTGGTTTCTGGGGACACTAACTGTTCATCATGTCACCAAGCACTGCGAGGGGATGCTGAGCACCCCCACGCCAGCCACCCAGCCTGCTCCTCCCAGGACACACCGCTGCCGGGCCAGCTCCCGCTCCCGCTGGCTCTGCTGCTCCCGCTCCCGCTGCAGCAGCTTGCGCAGCTCCTCCGCCTGGCGCGAGTACCGCTGCGCCGCCCGCTCGTCACACTGCAGCAGCTCGGCCTCGTGCAGCACCTTCAGCTTCTTGATGTCCTGCTTGTGCTTGGCGATGAGCTTCTGGATCTCTGGCTCCAGCCCTGGGGCAGACGGGTAGGCAGAGCCCTGCGGCAGCCCGCGCACAAGCGCCAGCACCGCTCCCCGCAGCCCCAGACAGCTGGAAAGGAGACCACGAGCACCGTCCCATCTCCAAGCCCAGCCGAGGGACCTGCCTGTACCTTTCACAGTGATTTCTTTGATCTTCTTGGTTTTCTCATCCATCCACTTCTCTCGCCTTATTTTCTCTGTTGCGCTCATCAGCTCCTTGAGTTTCTTGATCTCCTGTTGGAAACAAACCAGAAAACTTCAGAGACAAGGCAGGGGAGGAAAAAAAACATATTAACCTAGGAGCTTGGCTGTCGAAAAGAAACTTGTAGGCAAGAGGGGATGACCTTGGCTGTGCACAGAGCACTCGAGCAGCCCTGGCCAGCTGCGTTCTCCCCAGCTCAGTGAACTAGATGCACATCCCCCAGGACTGCCTTCCCTCTCCTGGGTGATCGGGCCGCTGCTGCCCTGAAGA